TCTACTAGACTACCGAAACTATTACATTTTTGTCCCCAAGTTCGAGTTCTACTCACACCAAAATTTTAAAAAGGAAACAGGTTTTTAAAAAGCAAACAAATTTGACGAGAGTGTGACTTTAGTTTGAGGAGCAAAGGATTTAATAGGTTCGGTAGACTAGCAGACTATCCACTACACCACCGAAGCAATCATCAGGGAATCGTGTGACGGCCACATAAAGAGCTCGAAGGCTCGAAGACGAAGAAACGAAGGTGATATTTTATGCCAAATATCTCACGTTTGAGAAGCGTTCTGCAAAAACTGGAAACAAATTCGAGATCCCCATGGCCGACTCTATCAGATGGATTTGGATTTGGTCGAGTCAAAAGGACAGCTTGACTTCGCGTTTTCCCCTTTTAAGAGAAGGATGATTTTGAAAACTACCTTCAGTCTTATTTTCTCCCTCTCAACTTTCTCCTTCGCTTATAATCCGCATTCGATGACGAGATTTGTATTGAAGGCAATAAAATCTGAATACAAAGTTACGGTAGTTCTCAGAATTGGTCATCTTTCAGGAGCCTATGGGGTATTCAAATTGCCCAATGGCCATAATTTCGCCATCATTAATTCCCGTTTCCAGTTGGTCGTCTCAAAACTTTCCACCGGCCTCTCCGATCAAGGTGGCGAGGATCGTGAGTCTCTTGTCCCGTCAACTCCCTCTTCAATGTCCTCAATTCCTGCATTTCAATGGGCTTCTCCCCCTCCATCTCCATCGTTGATCATTCGTCCTGTCTCCTCCATTCATCCCTCAACTCCTTCCGTCTTCAATTTGCTAATTGTTAGGACACATTCGTTCTGCTCTTCAAAAACTGCGCAGCTGAATGGTACTTTTTCACTGGTGATCAAACCTTTTCTACACATCCTTTCTCGCGGGCTCGAGTCGTGGTTGCAAGCAAAATGAAGAAAGGTGCAAAATGAAGAATCGGTGCAATAGAAAGGTGGTGTGTTTACAAGATTTGATCACAAAGTATATCACAGAACTAAAACGCAACCCTAAGCTACAGTAACCGCAAAGGAAAAGTACTATTTTAAAGAAAAATTTCGCATTTTTCACATCCAACTCCCAAAAACACAGCTCAACACTCCGCACATATTTCCCCCCACTTTTATGAATACACCGGTTCTCCCTTTATTTTTTCCTTCCATTTACGGGTTTCCTTCATTTATTGGTACTCATTCTTTCTTTTATCATCGTTGCTTGTACATTTCTGAATTTTACAAACTTCGGTTTTCTCTGGGTTTAGTAATAACCTATCAATGAAAATAATAAATTTATTTGACGACGGATATAAATGAATATCTACAGAACGAAAAAGAAACAGAAATCCATTTAAAAGTAAGAGAAAATGAGAAAACTAAAACTAACTAATAACTAGGTTTCAGCACATTAAACATGCCCATGTTTAATCTTTTAAAATGTTTCAGCTTCTGTAATAAATTTGAAAATGTTTATGAAGGTTATAAAAGTTCCATTCCAATTCTCCTTTTGATGAAAATCTGGTTTAAAGGCTTTCTGTGATTTGTGTGTGTTGATCTGGAAATTGCATTTATGACTGAGAGAGGGCCGAAAGTACGTTTTCTGCTTGGTTTTGTGAACATTTCAAGAATGAAGAACGTTCTATTTAGATAACTACTTTATTCACCTGAAAAGAAAAAACAATTTGCATAGAGACAGAACGGGTTCCAAAATCGGACTGGTAAAATAAAAACTCGTGAAATTGGAAAGTCGGGAAGACTAGGGCTAGGATACAGAGCAATCAGCATTTTTTTCTTTGTCTTTCCTTTTTAGTAACTTCTTTATATTCAACTACTGATTGTAGCCTCCTCTTGCTTAGTGAATTGGCTATAGGAAGCCGAATTCGGCACTTTCTCAAACTTAAGCCATTCTGTTTTTGGATTCCCTTGATGATCAATCAAGCGGATGTAATCAATCCAATCCACAGTCTTGATCAAAGCATAGACCCTATCATTGAGCTTTGACTCTTGAAAGTATTTCATTAATACTCCAACATCAATATGATGAAGTTTCTTCATCAAATCCAATCCAGCAATACTTTCCCCATTTTCATAATTATTTGGATGATCCAAGAGAATCAAAAACGGAATATCTAAGAGATTTTGAGAGCAAAGAAATAGAAATGGGTGTTGCCTCGAAGGCGAGAAAACACCTCTATCAGGTCTTATACAATTCATGTAACTTTCCAGAAACAAAACCTCATTTTCCGTGATTTTGCCACATACTGGAATGTGCAATTCTTTAGGTAAATCTGACCATCTTTTCATTTTTCTATACCCATCCATTTGACATTTCCCTGAATGATTCTTTTTACAAATTGAACGAGGGGGATTTCTTAATTGGAATAGGTAGTGGGGGAAGGGATGGGGTTCATAAAATCTTTTAAATCCTCTAGATTCCGAAGAATGATCGAGAATGAATTGAATATTAATTGGAACATTATTCTTCTCCGAGTCTTCTATTGGAATCAGATATTTCAAGTATAACTTTATGATCGTTTCCATTCTTTTTTGTTGTTTTTTAATTGCATCAATTATTCGTTCAAAAGGCACTTGTTTGTAGTGGGAGAAATGAAGCAATTCATGCTTTTTGTCTTCATTTGCAATTTTATAGCTCCGAATTTCATTTCTTGGATTTTCTACCCATTGTCCAGGAATCCCTTTCCATAATCTCAAGTCTTCACTTACAAATCTATTCCAATACATATGAATCCATCCCTCACCAGTCAATTGAGAAATAAAGCATCGAAAATAGAAATTTGTAGTGTAATTCTCTCCTTTTCTTTTATTAAAACTGCTAATCTGATCCTCATACCTCCACCAATTTTCAAAAATTGGGATCAAAATCTCTTTGTGATTTTTAAGACATGGCCAAACCCAGTTTTCTGCCTGGAGCTGCGAGTTAAAATCCCCCAAAACAAACAATTCAAATATTTCATAAATATCCTTTTCATGTAGATTTTCCTTCTTTTCTTCTATCTCCATAATTTCCTCAATTACATAACGAGCATCTTTGAATGTCTGAGTTTCTTCTTTTAATCTTGAAACAATATTTGGTGCTTCTTTGAAGAATTTCTCTCTTTCAGCAGGATTTAGTATTTCGAGTTTATAAGTGAATAGGAACTGGAATTCGGCCCCTTTTTTAAACGCAAGCCATTCTGTTTTTGGATTTCCTCGATAATCGACTAAGCGGATGAAAATATCAGGCGATCCACGAGCCTTGATCAAAGCATAGACCGTGTCATTCGACTTTGACGCTTGAAAGTATTCTCTTAATACTCCAACCTCAATATGATGAAGTTTCCTCTTGAAATCAAATCCAAGAATACTTTCCCCATTTTCATAATTATTTGGATGATCCAAGAGAATCAAAAACGGAATATCTAAGAGATTTTGAGAGCAAAGAAATAGAAATGGGTGTTGCCTCGAAGGCGAGAAAACACCTCTATCAGTTCTTATACAATTCATGTAACTTTCCAGAAACAAAACCTCATTTTCCGTGATTTTGCCACATACTGGAATGTGCAATTCTTTAGGTAAATCTGAATATCTTTTCAATTTTCTATACCCATCCATTTGACATTTCCCTGAATGATTCTTTTGACAAATTGGACGAGGGGGATTTCTTAATTGGAATAGGTAGTGGGGGAAGAGATAGGGCTTAGAGAAAGATACAAATTCTTCGTCAGATTCAGAAGTTGATTTGGTGTCCGAAGATCTTTTATATTCGGAAGATTCATCGAGAAGCGATTCAATATTAAATGGAACATTATTCTTCTCCGAATCTTCTATTGGAATCAGATATTTCAAGTATAACTTTATGATCGTTTCCATTCTTTTTTGTTGTTTTTTAATTGCATCAATTATTCGTTCAAAAGGCACTTGTTTGTAATGGGAGAAATAAAGCATTTCATGTTTTTTGTCTTCATTTTCAATTTTTTTGCTCTTGATTTCACCTCTTGGATTGTCTACCCATTGTCCTGGCATTTCTTTCCATAATCTTAAGTCTTCACTTACAAACTCATCCTTCGCAAAGAATTCCCCGGGTAAATGAATCCATCCCTCCCCAGTCAATTGAGAAATAAAACATCGAAAATAGAAATTTGTAGTGTAATTCTCTTTTCTTTCATTAAAACTGCTAATCTGATTCTCACACCTCCGCCAATTTTCAAAACTTGAGGTCAAAATCTCTTGTGATTTGTGATTTTTAAGACATTCCAAACCCCAGTTTTCTACCCGGAGCTGCGAGTTAAAATCCCCCAAAACCAACAATTCAAATATTTCATAAATATTTTTTTCATGTAGATTTTCCTTCTCTCTTTCTATCCTCAATATTCCCGGAATCACATAACGAGCATCTTTGAATGTCTGAGTTTCTTCTTTTAATCTTGAAACAATATTTGGTGCTTCTTTGTAGAATTTCTCTCTTTCAGCAGAATTTAGTGTTCCGAGTTTATCTCGCATTCTCTTACCCCCAGACGCCTCGAATCTCTTGTCATATTTTCTTTTCTCAGATTCAACCATAACCCATTCTTTTCTAACTTCAAAGCCAATTGGTTTCATCAGTTTAGTTTTGTTTTCATCTTCTGTGGGCAGAAAACGGAGTGAAGAGATGAATTTATTTGCCTAGGTTTTTATATTTGAGAAGTTTTAATTTTCAAAAAAGGAGTGAACATAAGTCAACTTCAATCCGGCCCTTCTCAGCTATTTTACCACAAAAGATTTTCAAACTTTAATACTTGGTAGTCCTAAGGTTTCTACATAAAAAATGAAAATTCTATTCATCATAATGGTAAAATTTGCGAAATTTGCGAGGTTACATACTTTCCAACCAATATTATAGTGGACGAGAAATTCTACTTCTTTTAGAAAAGCTTACTTTCCGTGTTTCTTTGAGCAATGCCAAAACTTCAGAAGCTGTTGGGCGATGATTACGTTGAAAGTTAGTACATCTGATAGATGGATTCTTAGAATATAAAAAATTCATAAATCCAAACCTCAAGATGTTTTCCTGAATTTCTGATTGACATTCAGGTGATTCGATTTCAGTAACACGTTTGAGTGCGATATCAATCAATAATTGGTCACGATCAAACACTCCAGACGTCTCATAGTTTGTGAAAATTGTTCTAAAACAATGAAAATGTTGTTTTGAAATCACATTAATATCCCAAAGGAGCTTACTATTTAAACATGAATACCTCCTTTCGATGATTTCCCACATAACAAGTCCCAGACTGTAGACATCATTTCGATGGGAATTCTGGAATGGATACATCATTGAATAGAAATGAATGTAAAACTAACCGATACATCAGCCTCCTTTATTTGTTCATAAACATCCCGTTGTACCCCATCCTCCTTCATCTCAGGTGGACTCATATATCGTTGTGTTCCAATAAACGTCCCCGTAACAGTTCCATCTACCACTACTTTTACCAATCCAAAGTCACCAATCTTGAGCCGGTATTCATTGGTCACAAAAATGCTATAAATGAATTGAACTTTGTACCACTGAATATTACTTGTCTGGTTTGATATCTCGATGTACCAATTTGTGTTTCTGATACATGTGCTTGATGGCATCAAATAATTGGATTCCCCAGGTGAGAACAGTGTTCATTGAATATGTAATGGTTGGATCAAGAATCACTAAACTCCAAGATATAACAATACCAGTCCAATCCCAACCTCTCTTCAGTGGTCCCTTTTGACAATATTCCATTACAATTCCCACTCTTTTCTCTTCTTCTATATGTCGATACAATCGGACAACATTTACATGATAGATGTTCTTCAAAGCTTCACATTCACTTTTGAAGATCTTCAATTGTTCTTCGTCGCCACAAAACATATATTTGATGACAGCTGAGCTAAACAAAGAGGCTTATGATACAATACAAGCTCTACAAAAGACTTAATATTGAACATAGCGGTGGATAGATCGAAAATAACCAACGGTTCGTGTCCAATCAATTCATACACTTGCCCCATTGCTCCATTCCCAATGCACTTTCCCAATTCAAATTGATCAGATGTTGTCATTTCTCACAGATAAGGCTTCAACCTAAAGCTTAGTAATATAAAATATAAAAGAGGAGATGAAATGAAGAGTCCAAAAGCAACCAGAAGGTGAGGGCAAAAACTCTTGCAAGAAGGTGTCTTATCTCTTTCTTCTCTCCACTCTATTACCATGTTGATTGATTGTGGGTTTTGGGAAAAGGAGAGGGATATGATAATAATAAACTGAATCTTATTAGTTCATTCAAGACTTTTGTATTTCTCGAATTTGACTTTAGTCCCAGAGGGCTTTAAGAATTGTGCCAACAATAAACCTAACCTAGCCAACTGCACAAGATAGTATTCTATAGACGAACAAGAAAAAAGTTTAACGGAGATAAATTTTTTACAGAGAGTCACAAAATATAATTTTTTACATTTGGTTTACTGACTCGACAACTTTATTTGCTTTTGTGTCGAAGTACTGTAGTTTGTGGTTTAAAAACCGGGAAATTTGGTTGAAAGTTCATTCTGGTTTAATTGTAGCAGAGTTTTGGTGATTAGTAGAGTTAATCTCTTACCCACCCCTACAGATATTTATTTACGAGCTTCACGAGGTTATTAGATATGTTCTTTTCAGTTAGTCGGCTGGCCGAGAAATGGAAGCCCGTGCTCCACGCTTTCCCTAAAGCTCTTCGTCACTTTCAACTAGAGCAAACGAATGCCGACATCTCAGCAAGCGAACTGGCTGACTTCAGGATCAAGGTCTACAGCAGTGCTGAGGTGGCAAGGAGAGAATTCGCGAAAGGATTCGACAATTTCTCTATACAGTTAACAGTTATGCCTAGATTAAACCGCTAATCCTTGAAGGTTCAGCTCTGAATTGAGCTCTAAAAACTCGAAACACTAAATCTAATTAGACTCATCATTTGGCAGAGTTTATTTGCTTTCAAGTCCTTGGGTTCAGTTTTTAAGTCAAAACCCTTACTAATGAAGACAAATCGAAGAGCCGTTGTTAAATAATCTAAATGAACAAGCCAAAATTGAATCTTTCAAGTTATATTGCAAGATAGTATTGATCGAGTGAACAAAAAATATTATAGGGCTGCGTTTGAAAAGAATCAGAGTCTTGAACAAGGAAGGCCTTATCTCTCGCCTTTATTCACTCGCCATATCAAATTGCCATCAAACTGATTTTGAACCTTTCTTTCTGAAAACGTCTTTGTTTGAAACGAATTACTAAGGAAACCCATTCGATTTGATTTAGTGCTATTCTTGAGGATGTTAGATGAATTTTTTATGAACAAAAAGCGTGGAGATGAATCTTCGCATCTACCCATTCATGCTGCATATTATTAACTGCTCAGCACAATCAGATTACTGTCTCGGTCGTTGAAAGTCTTGTGTTTTGTAGAATAAAAGAGTTGTTACCTAAAATTACTGTCTCGGTCGTTGCAACACTTTTTTGAGGGAGAAATGTTCGATGAGCACGCCCCGGTCATAAAAGCACTCAGCACCCTCACCAGTCAATTGAGAAATAAAACATCGAAAATAGAAATTTGTTGCGTATTTCTCTCCTTTTATTTCTTTCAAACTGTTGATCGGATCCACGCACCTCCGCCAATTGTCAAAACTTGATATCCAAATCTCCTCGTGCCTTTTCAGAGATTGAAAAGATCGGTTGTCTTTCCGGAGCTGTTCTTGAAAATCTTCCAAAACAAACAATTCAAATATTTCATAGATATCCTTTTCATCTAGATTTTCCTTCTTTTCTTCTATCCTCAATATTTCCTCAATCACATAACGGGCATCTTTGAATGTCTGAGTTTCTTCTTTTAATCTATTGGGTTGGGGAGAATGAGTCGGCGCCGAAAATCAAAAAAATGTCTAAAACTTCTAGCAGAATTCGTCAAATAATATGCGTTTGATATGAGTAGAATGGTTAACTAATTCGCTACAAAATGACATTTAAAAGAAAATTCAAACAGCGCCTCCGCTCAAGAAAAAGCCATTTTTTCACAAAAACTACAAACTGTCATCTAGAAAAAACCATTGGTGGGATCTTCCTGCAAATTAAGACGAATGATCAACTTAAGTAATTGAATGTGCTCTATTTTTTTTTATCTAACGACTAAAGAAGGTTTATGTGAAAGAAACTGTTCAAATGATGAGTCGGACTCTTTGCCATTTTAACCAGCTGCGTTTGGAAGTTCATAAACTCCACGAAAGAAAAGCTTTGTGGAATCTCTCAAAAGTGATTTTGTAGAGAAATAGTGGATCCTTTTGATGAAACCAAACGTATGTTTAAAGAAGGCTTTATGTGTGCAAAAAGTCCCTTTAAAGTTTGGCGCCGACTCATTCTCCCCAACCCAATAGAAACAATATTTGGTGTTTCTTTGTAGAAATTGTCTCTTTCAGTAGAATTTAGTGTTCCGAGTTTATCTCGCATCATTGCGCGGACACTTTCGATTTCCCAACGATTACATTGGAATCTCTTTTCATATTTTCTTTCCTCAGATTCAACCATAACCCATTCTGTTCTATCATCAAATCCAATTGGTTTCATCAGTTCTTTTTCGTTTTCATCTTCTGTGGGCATGAAAGGGAGTGAAGAGATGAATTCATTTGTCTAGGTTATTACTTTTGAGAACTATAAAATTTCAAAAAAAGGAAACTTCTCAACTACTCGGTTGAGAAGGATGAAACTCCGCAGATTTCAATTGAACCAAACATAGCCGTCTGTATGCCAGAGAGTGGGCGTTTAGGCAGTTTTCACCCAAAGAACACCTAATTTGGAGATGTTTGTCCGGAGATATGGTAGTCCTAAGAATTCTACATAAGTCATGAAAATTCTGGTTATTTTAGAGGTTACTTTAAATGAGTAACTAGGAGTAAATGGGAATTTGCATGCTTCCCAACTGAATAGTTGAGTAGGTTTCCTTTTTGTTGAAATTTTACACATCTCAAATATAATAACCTAGGCAAATCAATTCATCTCTTCACTCCCTTTTATGCCCACAGAAGATAAAAACCAAAAAGAACTAGTGAAACCAATTGGATTTGATGATAGAACAGAATGGGTTCTGATTGGATCTGAAGAAAGAAAATCTGAAAAGAAATTCGACGGGGCGAGCATTTGGCAAATTGAGCGTGGAGTATATGGAGAAGTGTATGAATTTTTGGATTGGACACGAACCGTTAGTTATTTTTGTTCTATAAACTGATTTGTTCAATATTTAGTCTTTTGTAGAGGTTGTGTTGTACCATAACCTTCTTTGTTTAGCCCAGCTCTGGTCAAGTACCAAGCGTGCAAAAATGACAGAGATCTTCAAATGTTCAAGAATGAATGGGAAGCATTGAAGGCCATTGATCATGCAAATGTAGTGAGCATTTTATCTACAGAAGAGAATGGAGAGAAATTGGGGATTGTAATGGAATACTGTCAGACGGGACCACTCAAAGGAGGTGCGGATTGGACTGGTATTATTATATTTTACAGTTTAGTGATCCTTGATCCAACAATTATTAGGTTGATGCATAAGTCTTTTCGTTTTTTTCGTACTTCTGTTAAAAAGTAACAAATTCACGAATTAATCTATAGTTTGCTCTATAAAAAAAGTGTTTTTTTGTTCAATTTGCATCTTTTTAAATGAATTTCGGTTGACTTTGAAGCAAATTCGAGAGTGAAAAACGCCTTTTTCGTAAAAATCTATAAAAAACTCTACGGAAAAATTGGCTGAATGAATTTCTCTGAAATTTTGGCGAAATATCAAACTTTATTTTCTCTATCTTTTATCTATTGACACGAAGATAGGTTTTCTTTAGCTAAGGTGTCTAAACCGCATCATCGAGTTAGCCCTTTTTGACTACCCGACTTCATACTCTCAAGAAAATCCAGGCATAAAATATTTTTAAACCCGTTTTAATGTTATTTTGCAGAAAAATAATTGGTTTTTCTAATGAAATCAACCGTAGTTTAATTGGTGCATTTGTTGGCTTGAAACGGCAGACGAAAAAAATGAAAAAGACTTTTGCATCAACCTAATACATATTCAATGAACACTGTTCTCACCTGAGGAATCCAATTATTTGATGCCATTGATCACATGTATCAGAAACACAAATTGGTACATCGAGATATCAAACCACACAAGTAATATTTAGTGGCATAAATATGGAAGTACAATTCATTCATAGCATTTTTGTGACCAATGAATACCAGCTGAAGATTGGTGACTTTGGATTGGTAAAAGTAGTGGTAGATGGAACTGTTACGGGGACGTTTATTGGAACACAACGATATATGAGTCCACCTGAAAAGAGAGAGGATGGGGTACAACGAGATGTTTATGAACAAATAAGGGAGGCTGCTGTATCGGTTAGTTTTACATTCTTTTCTATCCAATGATAATATATATTCATTCCAGAATTCCCATCGAAATGATGTCTATAGTCTGGGACTTGTTATGTGGAAAATCGTCGAGAGGAGGTATTCATATTTGCATATTGATCTCATTTGAAACATAACTAAGACCTCAAAACAACATTATTATTGTTTTAAAACTATTTTCACAAGTTATGAGTTATCCGGAGTGTTTGACCAATTACTGCTTGATATTGCACTCAAACGTGTTACTGAAATCGACCCACCTGAATGTCAATCAGAAATTCAGGAAAACATCTTGAGGTTTGGATTTATGAATTTTTTATATTCTAAGAATCCATCTATCAGATGTACTAACTTTCAACGTAATCATCGCCCAACAGCTTCTGAAGTCTTGGATTTCCTGAAACAAACAAAGAGGGTAAGCTTTTCTCAAAGAGGTTGATTTTCCGGCTTACTATTGGGTTGGAAAGTATGAAATCTCGCAAATTTTCTTTCACGCCTATTGTCTTCTCTTACCATTAAATTGACTAAAATTTTCATGATTTATATGAAAATCCTAGGACTACCAAGTATGAAAGTTTCAGAATCTTTCGTGGAAAAATAGCTG